TAGCTTTACCCATGATCCGTCTACAACTGAGGATGTTTTACGTCAGCACTGTGGTCGGGGAGAACCAGGTGCGGAATTTGTATCGACCAATCATCGCTGGGTTTCGAAACCGGTTCACCTCATTGGAAGGCGAATGCTCTATCCCCTGAGCCACCACGGCTCAATAAAATCTATTTTATTTTATTTTATCCGTCGTTGAACAGCCGACCCAATTTTGTTTTTACGACTACTAATGTTCAACTCCGTAGCCTTGCAATTTTGAACCAATCCAGAAGACAAGGGAACTCCTGGATCAGTACCCTCAAAGGTATTGATTTGTTATGGGAACGGGGAGGACTTTGCGACTCGACAGATTTAACGTGCATCAGTTACCATTTACTGCAAGGAGAGTCTTCGGCTGGCGGGAATCGAACCCACAAACTCTTGGGCGCGTAATAGTTCAGGATAACTTAGCGTTACCGAAGCTCTCATTTGATGAACCATGTTGATTGCAACTGAGAAACAAAAACGAATTTCGGATTTGTCTTCCAACTAATTACTATCCAGAAATAAAATAACTTTGCAAAAAGCGGAACTTGGTTTAATTATATGTTTACCAGTGATGGTCAGTACTAAATCTAAATACAAGGCCCACTCGAATCGCAAAAATATCACGCGTCTTGCGAGTCACAATTTATCGATTTCTGAACTTAGCGAAAAAAGGAAATCTGAATATGAAAAACACCCATATGAAAATAAAAGGTAGCCCACATCTGTTTTCGGTTCCATACTTCTTGTGTTTTCAAAAAGCACTAAGCTTCTGCCTTCAAATCCAAATACAAGCATTTATATTCAAATTATATTCAGTGGTAGGCAGAAATATTTTATTTCTTCAAAAGAAACCATATTAGCAGGGTACCCACAGGCGACTAAAAATGCGAGAATCGCTGATTAACAAAATTGAAGATTTTATTTAAGAAATTAAAATTAGCAACTTTTCATAGCTTATTTGTATCAGTTTATTATTAAAAACAGAATGTAAAAAATGTTTGTATTTGAATAATATGAATGTAAATCATAGTGGTAGATACGATTAAATAATTGAGGAGATAATAAATAAATAAAAGTGAATTGAGTTTCTACCTTATTTTACGTGAATAGTCGTCCTATATCAATGAAATATTTGTGCTAAAACTTTTCTCAGCTTTGAAAATAGAACTGTCTTTTTTAATGACCGCTTTGCACATAAAAGCTAATAATAAAACGTGAATGAAAAGGCATGTAAATAATATATTAATATTAGACTAAAAAAATTAGATCACCTAATTACCTTGAATCGATTAAACACTGGCAATCATTTTACGTTTAGATTTAAGTATATTCGTTATTATATTTTTTTATGGAAGTAGTTTAAAAAATGAACATAATTTTTCGTAAAGGAATTTTATAAATACTCTTTTCCCTATATTATTTCCCAAATGCCAAGATAGCATTGTTAATGAATATCTTATCAGATTTTAACTTTAATTTGCTTTAACACACAATGTTACAAACTAAGATTTTTGTAAAAGTCATTAATGTAATGAATACGAACAACTGTAACGCTCCTTTTATATCGATTTTTTAAAATGTTAAAGGGAAAGGATGTACGTTACGAATGATAAAACTCATGATTCTTTCGAATAGTTAACGAATTTAAACGTAAAAGAGCAAAGTAATCGAGTAAAGATCTTTGAATTCTTCTTTTGTTTGTTTTTGTGTATCACCTTTACCCTTTATGCTAATCAAATGTAAACATTTACGTTTCTAAAGTATTAAGAGAGAATTTGAAAATTAAAACAGGGTTCGAATAATCTATTTTAAGAATCTTTTCTTTTTACTATTAATGATAAGTAAACGCTCAAAGACACACATAATTAAACTTGAAACTGACAATGCAATTTTAAATGCTTTGTTTTGCATTAAAATAATGTAAGAACAACCTTGTAAGATCTTGCTGATCTAAGTAAGACAAAATATAAATGATGTTATCTCGGATTAAGAGCAAAAAATTCGCTCTATCTTGAATAAGTAAACGCCTAAAAATTCAAAATTCTGGGTTGCCACTGTTGTCTAAAAATGCTAAAGTCTTAACTAATAAAATTTATAATTTATCAATAAAATTTATTAATATAATTATAAAATTTATTGTAATAAATAAATTTAAATATAATTTTAAATTTATTAATGTAATGAGTATAATAATAATTAATTATTAATTAAAAATAAATAATGAAAAAATTATTAATAAAAATGTATTAGTATAGTGAATAAGCTAATTTAAGAGTGATAAAATTTATTAATATAATGAAATTAGGAATAGTCATTTATATAATTAATACGAACACTTTCACGAATTTTTAAAATGCTAAAGGTTGTATGTTATGAATGAAGAGATTCTTGATTCTTTTTGATAGTTAACGAATTTAAACGTAAACGAGAAAAATTAATCGAGTAAAGATCTTGGAATTGGTCTTTTGTAGAAACTCAATTCATCTTTATTTACTTAGTTATTTAATCGTAACTACCACCAGAACTTTCATTATATTATTCATATTTAAAGAGAAAACATTCTTTGCATTACCCTGAACTCTTTTCATTATTCTTTGCATTAACTTTCAATTATAAATTGAAAGAAACATGTTTTAAAAAGGTAATAATTTTAATCTGGTTCAAAAAAAATTTGTAATTATTAATCACCGCTTTTTACATTTTTAGTTGCCTGTGCTGGGATGCAACAAATGACTAGAAATGTAAAAAAGTGGAATGAATTCAAGTCATATTTAATTATTTATTATTCCTTTTATTATTTAATTCTAACGACCACTATGGCTTACATTTAAAATATTAAATTTTTAAGACAGCGGCAGTCCTTTCTTTCATTTTCAATAGTGAACTAAAAAATGCTATGAAAAGTTGCTAATTTGAATCTCTTATACAAAAAATTTTGAATTTTATTAGTCACCACTTTTCTCATTTTTTATCGCCCGCGGCAACACTGCCTGTGGCATCTCAGTACTTAGTTCCAGTTTTGAGTCTCTGAAAGTAAAAGCGAACCTAACAAATTTTTTTAATCTACCAGTTTAAGGAATATTTTGAAGAAAGCGAAGCAGTTGCCATCCCCGAAATTTCTGAGTTTATGTCTTGAGTATTTATGTTTTGGATAAATTAAAATTAAGGCGATAAGACAAGTCGGGGAAAATAACAATAAGAGAAAAGACAAGATAACTCTGTTAAAATTATAATTTACTAATCCTATTTAACCCCTTGATATACGAAGACGTCTGGGAGACGTCATTTATTTCTTATGTCGAAACAATAATTGACGTATCTCAGACGTCTTCAACACAAAGATGCCAACTTGCTCCGGACATCAAAAAAACATTTTAAAGTGGTAGTTTGTCAATTGTGTTTATTGGTATAATAAATTCAATTTAGTAGATTTTAATCCTCCCTATTTCTAAATAATTCGTAGGCTTATATAATTCACCACTTTATAGCAGTTATGTCATGCTATACCTTTTAAAAAACAAGCAAAAAGAGTCAAATTTTTGAAAAATTTAGTTTATAGTTATTTACCTTTCTTTTTAATTATTTTGGCGTGTCTGTCAACATTCCGTTGAAAGTTGTTGTTTACAGTGAATCAAAGATCATTTCTATATCATGAAATGACATGTCAAGGGGTTAAATACAGCAAAAAATCTTGAACGCCCTGAACCTAACCATATTATTTGAAAAGTGAGACTACAGCCTCCTACATAAGAAAGCATCCTCACGGTATTTAATAAGTAGTCTGCGCAGGCTATTTAACACGTTCACGCCGGGGTGACCCAACGGTGGGTCACGCTAGATTGTCTCATCGGGCGGCGCACCGGAGTAAAAACTGGTAACAAATAAATTCCATTTTTTAGTTTTTTTTTCCGGGAATAATAAAAATCCATAACTACCCCTTGTTTTTAACGGATGCAATTTTTATATTGAATTGCTTTTTCACCGTGTTAAATTTCCTACTACAATGTTTGCAAATATATGTATTTTTCCTTACTGTATTTAATTTAAAGATGAGTGGGATAGGTGTCTAGTTTATTTAAATAAAGAAGAGGTAAATTTCCTCACAGAGAATTGTTGTTGTTGAGAATAGATTAACTCCTCCCGAATATTATCTAACATTGAAATAGTTCTTCTACCAGTATTTTCTCTTTTCCGCCCCGCTTTCATTCGCAACACCCGGATCGAACGTGTTAAAAAGTGAACCAGTTGTGCGCATAAACCCAAATTTCATTTTCGTCCGTTCGCTGTAGTGGAACTGGGCGTCTGAGGCCTTGCGGCCCTTTTCCCGTTCATCCTGAAATTAGACTTAGAAATATACATGACAAAAATAAAGTTTGGGGAGCAAAATGGAGTTATTGAGAGAGAAAAAATGGCACTTTCCCACTATTCGGTAATAACAAAACTACAAGTAATAAAAAAGTACATGAAAAAAGGTAAAATTAAAGTACAATGGGAAAATAAACACTAATGAATATTTACAGTATTTACAAAAATTTTATTTTAAAAGAGTTAAATTTATCATATCTATTTGAGAATTGAATCTGTAGTGGTTTGCAAGTAAATAAGACAAACCAATAATATTCATAAATTAAAAAATTTCTTGACATATATTTGCCTAAGAATGATGAATTAAGGGAAAGGAAGTGGCAACTGACTCGTGCGCTCCACTACCGAGTTTATTTATGTGCTTCTTCATAATATTTAGCGTTATCAACATATATTATTTAACTTGAGGCTTTAACCAACTAGCATTAATTAAATCCAGTTTTATGTGGTTAAAATGGACACATGGGAAATTTCTTGAGTTTCAACCGACTAGAATTGGTTATCTTTACTTTAACGCGTCAAACCTGGGTTTATCTTTAAATCTTGCTTTATTCGTAACATATATACTTCATACACATTTTTAACTTCTCAAATATTTCTTACAGGCATACAGAAATGTAAATTTTGGGAGAGATTCTTCTCAATCTATTGGAAAATATTCCTATGACAGTGGTTTATGGCTAGGCCCTGGTCCTGAACCTGCTTTTACAGTACCAGACGCTCCTTATTACAGACCTCCTACAGTAGAACAGATAGCTAGGACACCAAGACCAGTTACTGCGGTGGTAAGAAAAATTTAACTACCCAAAATTTAATGAAATTTGAACGAAAATTTGAGCATCGATGAATGAGATAAAAGAAATAAAATTCAATAACCAGGAGTTTTTAATTTAAAGAGCTAAAAGCTTTCATGGCGTGGCGTGTTGCTCTATGAATATGTTGTTTTATGTTTAATATTAACTCATCATGTTAGGCAACATTGTTTCATTTTACTAAAATATTCTTTTTTCAAAAAATAGAAACAGGTAACCTTTTTTTAGTACTTAATTTGCTAAGATGTTCGTGTGCACTGTATTAATGCAGATGACTTTTTAAGATCGGAAATATTTCAACTGTAGTCTTCAATTTTTTAAATTGAGATTTCTTTTCAGAAATTGAACTATTATAGTATAAAAAACTCACTCTGCTTATGTAGTATAAATATTCTACACTCTTTTCATAAACACAGTTCTCTGAAAAAATTCTGTTGTAACGCTCCAGCAAATGAATAAAAGTAATGACAATTCAATCTTTTTAACTAACACTTTAATTTTGAAAAAAACATATCAACATCTCAGAAGAAGCAAATGTTGTTAATATTCACGCAAATTCAGCGATGCCAACTGCTGTGGTTTTGACAAAAAGTTTTAAAAGATAGTAAAAAAACACGTTCTAAAATGTGCAGATTTTCGATTAATTTTGGTAACTTTTCAGATGCATACCTGCCAACTTTTCCGGTTTTTCCGGAAGATTTTTTTTTCATATTTAAAGTGCTAGCAAAATTCATGTTATTTCACTAAACTTTTTGAATTATATTAATAATTATAAATGAGTTTGACCACCACTACATATAAATAATTACAACAGATATATAAAACGCATATTAGTCCTCTCGTTAGCGAATTTCAACCTGGTTAAAACATAAATATCTTTTTGAGTAAAACTGTTTTTCGGTAATTGTTTTACTACCACTTGGAAAATCCATTCTCGAAAAGAATGAATGTTGGCAGGTATGTAGATGGTTCAATATAACTATGTGGGTTAAGCGGTTAACTGTTATTTTGCCACAAATTTATGCTTTGTGGGGAGTTATGATTTGCAGGTTGGCATCTATGTATCTAATCAGTGACAATTTTTGAGAATTTTAAATTTTACATTAAATATTGTTCATTTATTTTCTCGCAATTATTGTTCTTCTCTTTTCAGAGAACAAGATTAAAAAGAAATTGGGATGTGGATGAAAGAGCTCTGAGTACGATACCAGACGATCATCCAAGACAAAACTCAGAGGAAAGAAATTATAGGCACTGACACTTGATCTATAATGTGTAAAAAAGAATTTGATGTGTAAAATGTTTTAAGATTTGATGTGTAAAAAGTTTTAAGATTTTAAAGCAAACATTTTCAAGAGAATGAATTTATGAACACTATCATTTTTTTTACATTTTATTCACTTATGAAAAATTTTGAAAATAAAGCAGCAATTCCTTTCTGTCCATTTTTTTTCACTCTGTAATCCTTTAAATGTGATTTCAATCTTGAAAATAGTATAAAATTGATTAATAAATTAATTGATTTATCTATCATTTGATTGATCACTCAATCAAATTATAAGGAGGCTATGAATAATGCAAAGGTGATAGAAGCTCAATAGTGAGAAATCTGCTGAACCAGACTAAATCTATACTTTTTGTAAATAGAACAGACGTCTAAATGTTACGCAATTTTCTCACTCTCTACACTTTACGAATACTGATGTTCAACTCCATAGCCGTGTATTTTTGATTCCCAAGAAGACAAGGAAACTTCTGGATCAATTAATGGGAGAAATTCGCCTTCGTGGAGAACCTTTTAACGAAACTAACCAGCATTTGCGTTACATAGAGAGGAAAACTACGAATGCCTCCCACAGTTAGCCAGACGGCAAGCTGACCATGACAAATGATGCGTCAATCACTGAGGATATCTTACGTCAACACTCGGTGCAAGCCAGGTACGGAATTCGTATCGACGAGCCATCTCTGGAATTAGAACCCGGTTCGCCTCATTGGAAGCCGGGCGCTCTACCTCTTGAGCCACCACGGCTAAAAATGCTTGTTTAAAAAAATAGACATAGTCAGAAATACATGTTTAACCCTTTCAAGAGTGATTTTCAATTTTATGGAGAAAGTTATTTTTTGGCAGAATGCTGTTCTTCTTCACCATTAATAATATATTTCAAAAAAGTTTTTTTTAAAAAAATTAGACTTTATTTTGCAGATAGGCCTTGGGACATTGATGTCCGATTAGTTTTTTTCCAATTGGACATATGTTGTCCTACCAGTATCCAAGGGTTACAGGCGGTAATAAAATGATAAACTTTCAAAATCATGCAAATTATGATTTAAAACAACGTAAAAGGGTACAAATAATATTTATACTATGACAATAAATTTCCTTAGTATTATTTCAATTTCCCTTTATGTGAATTTTACTTTTTGCTTATTTCGCTATAGCTCGAGAACATTTTTAGCAGATTGAAAAAGTTTTGCACACAATTCTAAAATTCGTTTTTCCAAACGTAATTTCATGCAAAAAAAGAAATAATAATAATTTTTCGTCAATATTTTTTAATTATTTTACTTAAAAGAATTATTTTAAACTGAAAAAAGTTATTTTAAATTGTTAGGTATGAAATTTTTTGCATAATTTTAAGGAATATGATTTTACATGGCAAAATACAAAATTTGAGAAAAAATCTAATGACTACTTCCTGAGAAATTAAATTTTAAAAAAGTCAGCTATTTAAAATTCGATTTCTCAGGAATAATTTGATCGATTGTGCTCAAATTTTATATTTTGCCATCTGAAATTGTATTCTTTAAAATGATACAAAGTTACAATTCATTAAAAAAATTAAAAAAAAAATTAATTCCTTGCAATTTAAAATTTCTTCGAAGATTATTGAATAAAAGAAAATGATAAATAATAAATTATTTTTGCATGGAAATATTTTTGGAAAAACGAATTCTGTAATTGTGTGCAAAATTTTTTTAATTAGCTTAAAAAGTTTTTGAGATATAGCTAAATACGCAAAAAGTAAAAATTACATTAAGGGGTCCAAACTTTGGTTTGATTGGTCAGAAGAACGGACCTCTCCAGACTAGACAATTAAGACCATGTTTCCAAGATTGCGACTACCCCCCATATCTTAGGGGTCAGAAATCCAATTCCGGCGAAAAAAGAGTATTTTTATTCAGAGAAAGAACGTTTTTGTGTCTAATTTCGTAACTTAGAACATCATTTGCACTTATTAACAAGGATATTTGAGGTTACCCCCTCAAACTATAAGCGTCTTAAAACGTGAAAATCTGATGATTTGACCAAAAGTTATTCAGGATGGTCTGTTTTTTTCCCCACTGTACATTTAATAGCATTCTCTTATGAGAATTATTTCTTTTTAAGTTATCGTATTGAAAATTTATCGTCATTGAGACAATAAATTTTAAATTAAATTTTTGTGTTATTGCACATTGTTGGTTTCCGGGAGGAGGTAATATTAAATCATTCGAAAATAATTGTACTGTACTTAAAAAAACTGTTTCATTGACCAGTGACTGCTTAAAAAGTTTACTTTTTATTTATATTTAGCTGGAAAATAATATTTATTTAATTACAGTGTATTTGGTTTTCATTTTTAAAGTTGTTTGCAAATCAAATTTAAACAACAGCTGAGAGGTATTATAAAAATTTGGGCAGTTCCCCTTTCACAACTGTTATAAAACCTGTTTTGAGTTAAGCAAAACTCTGAAAATATATTAAATCATTAGTTTTTTTGTAGATTTGCCATATTGCAAAAGAAATTGAATTTATTAGTTTCGCATTAGAAAATATAAAAAATGAAAAAAGTATTTCACCAAAATATAGTCTAATTTAAGGAATTAATCTCCTAATAGGTGATGTACTGACAATTTATTTACATTTTTATCACAAAAAGCCTAATCATAATCCTGCACTTAATAATTTGGTGTAACAACTTTTTTTGGTGTAACAATTTATTCTAATCCTAAAAATGATTCTAATTATATACTTCCTTAAATGTACTCATATCAAGTAATTAAGTTTCGTGATTTAGTTTTAATTTAATTACTATTTGTATACATAAATAATAATTTTTTCTGATAAAAAGATTGCATTAAAGTAATAAAGCTAATAAAATTTTAATATTTCATTTTTTTAACTATTCAAATGATAAAAGCGATTTATACAGAGTATTATAATCTCGAAGTAAGCTTGAATTAAATACATTTAAGAAAAGAGTGCTGACTTAAAAATGCTAAGGAGATTTACGAAAACAAAAGACAAAAAGCAAAACATTTTGAAGTACTTGTCCTTTTAAACCAATTATACAAACTTAGAGGCAAAATTAATATTATTAACAAAAAAGTCTTAACGATGCCTGCAAAAGGTTATTAAAGTGCAATGGGATCTTTTGAATCTAATTTAAATGAGTTGTAGTGAAAAGATTTTAAATCCACTCTGACAGTCATACAAATTATGTTGAAGTATGGAGTTGTTGACTATTTTAGAATACGATTGAGATAAAAATTCATTTAGTTAATCCAATTTCCACATAATATGGAAATTTCCACATAATTGATAAAAATTTATTACTCTTGCTCATTCAGAAATGCATTGTCTAATTAGATAAAAGTGATTTAGAACATTAAATTTATTTTTTTGTTTTGCAATATCTTCAGGCAGTTGAAAAAAATATAAATTTATTAAATTACTATAGGAAAGAAATTAT